GCATTTTAGTGGAGAATCCCCCACTAAGACAGCCTTACCTTGACCCTTGAACTGGAGCCAACCCATCCATGTGTAACACACCCATCCATGTGTAACACACCCATTTAGGCCCTATCTGTGGCCAAAGCCCCGGGCCATTCCCCCCATCCCTGCCCAACTCTGCTCAGCGCTTTACCCTCCTGGGGGGTTGCGTGGGTACAAGCTCTGACTCACGAGGCAGACAGAACTGACTTTGAATTTGGGTTTCAAATTCAAGCTTTGGCACAGACTAGCTCTGTGACTGAAATCTATCTGAGCCTCAGTTTCCTCACCTGCAAAATGGGGATAATGACAGTACCCTGTGCTTATGATGTTCTTGAGAAAATTCCTTGAAATAATGCACGTAAAGGATTTAGCCCAGTACCTGGTAAAGAATCCATGAAGTTTAGTTGTTATTATTATCGTGGTTCTGAATCCTGTATGCAGAACTGTATTCGCCCATCAGATCTGACAAATTGGTAGATTTTCTTTTGAGCTTGGACTCTAGGCTTTTTTCTCCAGGTTTGATCATCTTCCTTTGTGGTTTTATGGCTCCCTCTGTCCTAATCAAGGTGGCTTTCCAGCTTCGTCTGTCCTCAGCTTCTGTGTCCCCTGCTGTGGTATTATTCTATGTCCACTCAGGAGAGGAAAAGGTTAGGACTCAGAGAATGAACCTCAAATGGCAGAACAGCAGGAACCTTCACACATAATAGGTAATGCACTTCACAGTATGCCCTACCCAGGCTGCCTAAAGAAACATCATTGGGATCACTGCCTACCACTCTCCATGAGAGGTTCTGCTGGTACAGTGCTACCCACACCATTGACAATCATCAAAGTTCATGAGTGAGTCTTGGAGTGGGCACCAAACTAAACAAAATGGTGGTCAAAGCATTCCCACAGACCTTTTTGTCAAAACAATTAGCTGGAGTTTGTCCTGCATTTGAAATTCTCCTAAACTGGCCACTGTCAGGAGCAGAGTGTGACTCATTTTCATCTAAAAGTCAGTCGGAGCTAGCAGGGCTTTCTGATTTCCTCCCCTAGATGCCAGGGTGAACTTGGAAGGGATGTTGGGCAGGTGGGCGAACCCCGGGGAAAGGCTGCCAGCTCAGCGCCTGGTCAGAAGCAGGTGAGCTCACTGGGCCTGGGCAAAACTCATCACCAAGCGGGAGGCTGAGGGGGAAAGACCATCTCAGACATCAGCACAAAGGACAAGTTCAAGATGACTGAGAGCGGAGCGGGCAGGACGGTAACATCAAAGGTAATTTGAGAAGAGACAAAAGCAATTAGGAAGTGGGTAATAAAGAAAGCAGAGAGACAGGAGCCTCATACTCATTAGGGGCGATAATGAGACAAAGTTGGTGAGGATGGTTCAGGGTTGAAAACAACTTTGAAATAATAGTCTCTCTCTCTCTCTCTCTCTCTCTCTCTCTCTCTCTCTCTCTCTCTCTCTCTCTCACACACACACACACACACACACACACACACAGTGACTAAGCAGATATTTTTTCCTGGCATTGGCTGTCACTTGCTAATCAAACAGTTGTGAAATGCGAAGGTAATAGAATGATCATAGCCAACCTTCGTTAAATCAATAAACGGAAGCTCAAGAAGTCATTAGCAGTGATGTACATTTTCTTTGAGGAGTTTATAATTCAGTAATAGCAGACCTTTTGAAGAAGCACCTTCTAGCTCTCTGATTTACCTTTCTCTTGAATCAATCAGAGCCCTTTAATTTTATAATTCTACCCAGGATCAATATTTAGAAAGCATCATCTTCACCAACTCTTACAGGGTGAATTGTGTGCCCCCCTCAAATTCATATACTGATGCCCTAACCCTCAGGACCTCAGCATGTGACCTTGTTTGGAGATTACAGTCTTTACAGAGGCCATCAAGCTAAATGAGTCCATGAGGGGGACCTTCATCCAATAGGACTGGTGTCCTTAAAAGGGGAAGTTGGAGACATGCACATACACAGGCAGAACGCTGCAGGGGAAGGCAGAGATTAGGCTGATGACTCTACAAGCCAAGGAACCCCAAAGCTTGACAGCAAACCATCAGAACTAGGGGAGAGGCATGGAACAGATTCACCCCCACAGACCTCAGAAGGAACCAACCCTGCCGACAATTTGATCTTGAACTTCCAGCCTGACAGACCCGCGAGACAAGACATTTCTGTTATTTATGCTGCTCTATTAGCGGTGCTTTATTATGGCTGCTGTAGCAAAGTAATATACAAATACATTCCCTCTTCCTGTTTACAAATCGGCTGAGCAAACTAACTTTGAAGACTTTGAAGAGCAGGTTAATGAAATGCTTATGAAGAAAAGTATGTGGTGTGGGTCTTCCAAGCCAGTTATTAAAAAAATATATATATATATATATATATATCTCAAGAGATATTATTTTATTCACAGGCTGGCAGTGAAATTATTTGGAATATTTTGGTTAGAGCAGATTTCTCCTTCAACAGAATTCCAACAAGCAGTATGAGTATGGGCTGTGAGCCAGGATATAGAAATGGCTTTATGATAGAGAACAGAAGCTTACAATGGGATTAAATTAAAGTTACCTCCATCTTTATTTAGCTTTTAGATGTAATCATGCAGTGAAAACATACAGCTACATGCCTGGGACACAGTACATGTTCAGTAAATAAATCTAAACTCCGAAACCTTTGATGTCTAGATAGAGTCATCCAGTTTGATTTTCAAGGGATACCTGTTTTTAAAAAGTTGTTATATGAACTCTGCTGTGGTCAACATTGGCTATTAGTATATAGCTCCTGAACCCTTTCCATCAGGACTCAGAACGAAACTTGTGTATATTCTCACCCAGCTCCCTGAAGACAGCCTACGCATCTATGAAACCGGGCTTTCTGGAGTTACCAGGACACACATTAGCATGTACTGCTAAGGATGGGTTAAGTCAGGATATCAGGCCCTGCTGTCTTTGTGTTTCTGTGCCATACCCTGCTTGATCGCTATTAGAGTTCCTCACAGAACTCAGTGTCATTGTTGTGTGTGTGTGTGTGTGTGTGTGTGTGTGTGTGTGTGTGTGTGTGTGTGGTGTGTGTTCCTACCAGATTGTAAGCTTCTCAGGGTGACTTGGGTCTTTCCTCTTTGTGACTCCAGGGCTTAACATCGTATCTGCCACATAGAGGCACTCAATGCAAATGGTATGCATGTGTGTACGTTGAGAAAAGTTCTGCAGGATGAAAATTATATCATATACAATTGTGGCTGGCTTACTTTTCTGCTGCAAGGTTGTCTCAGAATTCAGAGTCACATTAACATGAAAACTGCAAGTCTTTACCTATGGTATTTTATTTGGTTTAAAAATACCCCTGCCAAGATAAGGCAGATATTACTATTCCCATTTTATAAATGACACAACTGTATCCCATAGGGTGATACAGGTATTTATCAGCCTCATCAGGCTCAGAGTGTGGAGTTCCAATTCAGCAATCCTGTTTGGGCTGTCCTGCTTCCTATAGCAGTCACACAGCGTCGTTTATCGCATGGCAATTGATGCCATGGATAGTGTGATTTTTTTAATGTAGCCACAGAGACCACTGAAAATCCTGGATCTGCTAAAGCTCACCCAAATAGCTCTGGCTGTCTACACAGACAGAAACTCACCCCAGACGGATGAGACAAAGGGTATTTAGGAAGGAAAGACATTGCAGGAGAAGGCTATACTTCCAGGGACGATACACAATGGGACTAGAACAAGCTGTATATTGGAATGCATTGTATACCAAATATCCTTATTAATAGAATTCCGCCCCAGGAAACAGACCAGAAATGGGAGAAATAGGACACATAGAGTGACTCGTGTACACCACATCTATATTCCCTCAGGGTTTGTAGGTTAACCTCTGGCAGCTGCTTGTAAACCTGGCCCAGCCCAGCAACAAAAATCACTGACCTGGGAAGCAATATAAAATTAATATAATATAAAATAAGATAAAATAAAATATAATAAATATAATATAATATAATAAATATAATATAATAAATATAAAATAAAATATGCCTAGTTAGAAGTATTCTATGTATGTACTATGTATATACCATATATAATATATATTCCTCCTCTCCTCCTCTTCCTCTCCGCCTCCGTCCAGTCACGGCACTAATTCCAGTAGTTTGGTTAAGGTGATCCTCTTTTGCTCATGTCCTAGGTGGATGGTGCATGTTTACGCTCGTGTTGCACGCAAGGCTCTGGCTTCTCTCCCAGGACGCCATTTCGCCTGGACGAGGGGTGAGTGGAGGGACCCAGGAAGGCCTGGGCCTCGGGTCAGCGGGGTCTGCCCTGGGCTGACCGAATAGACTCAAAAGGCTAGCCTGAACAAAAACTAGACTGAACTGATATTGTTTTGTTTCGGCAAGCAGCCCGGAGTATGAAGGGCAAGGCGTTTTAAAGATAACAAAGGCAACAGCTTTGATTCTTCCAGAAAATTTCTCAGGCTATCCTCTGTTACTCCCATCACTCTCCACTCAGCTCTGAGTTACAGACGCTTCACATTTAGTGAGTAGCTGGGTCTCTTTTTCCTTGAACTCATCCATGGCAGGTATAGTTGATCTAATACATATACGGGGCACAAAGTTTATACTCCAATTTGTTTTTAATGTAGTGACAAAAACATCGTATTGAGTCAGTGTGATAGAGTGAAGCATTTCTTAAAAATTCACAAAGGTTTATTTACTATTCTGCCATGTTTGATTACGGAGGGGGCTGTGTGTGTGATTCTCCACTTTTTACTCACTTCTGCCTCCCAGGTCAGAGAGTCCTGTTGTTGGGCAATATTGGGCTGCCCTCCTGCGATGCTCACAGCTGAGACTCGGTACCTCTTTACTCTAAGATGATCACTATTAGCATAGGTAGCTGTTTACAGGTAAAATTCATGGACCAAAGCACCAATTCTGTTTGTGGTAAAAACAAACAAACAAACACAAAAACCATCATTAGATTACCTTTTCCTGGAAGGCTAAGCAAGACTCCATGTTGCGAGGCTGTTGGAAGTACCACAGATCGGATTTCCAGGGACGGGTCATCACAAATCAGCAATTCCTTTCACTGTTAACCTCTGGAAAAGTGCAAAAAGTTACTGACAACTCAGGAACATTCAAAGAGAATATCCCCCTTGGAGAGACATTTAGAAAACAAGGACACACCACCCCTTACAAAACACCTTTTAGAAATGTTTGGTCAAAGAATAACTTCACTTGAATAGCTGGTGATTTCTAGCCTTTTTACGATTCAATGTTTCTGCGTGTACTTGGAATAACCGTTGCTCGACTAGTTCAAATATTTTCCCCCCTCCTCCGAATTTACTTACTGTGTAGACACAACTTTGGTGAGACCTGTTTGACTAGGTAACCCAAAGGAAATTTTCTGACATGGTAGAACCCCCACCCATGCTTATCCAAATTTCCTAGTGGAATTTTGGAAAGCACTGATGACTTTTGTAAACGTACCACACCTCGAATTCTCATTTTTCCGTTCTGTGGGCAGCTCTCTCTTTCTGACCCCGTTCTCCATCAAAGCAAACCTGACAAATCCAGGTACTTCCCTTAAATACTTTACCAGCTGGACTTAGCGCCTTCGCCTGATCAGAGAAAGCAAAATCACCTTTGGTGTGCTCTCCTAAGCCACTGATTCTGATTAGTTTGAGGAGAAGCACAAATGGCTTTCAGCTGACGCAAGCCATATCCCCATCCAACCGGCTCAAGTCAAGCAAAGCTTCCTGTTGGCCTCTAAGCAGACCTACTGCCTTCTGACCAGATCTTGGTTGGAGTGCAGAGAGTAGTAATGTGAGGATACGCTCTTATTGAAACAGCGCATAAGGGGTTCAGATAATTCAGTTCCCTAGTGTCTCTCCAACACTACACAGATGCAGTTTTGTCATTGTGGGGTGCAAATAGAGCTGGGACTGCCCATATGACAAGACACTGCAGCTAACTGCTCCTCCCTGATGGAGTCACCAACCAAGCACCCACTCCTGCTGCTTTTTGGATCTACCTCCCTCTCCCGAAGCTCTCAGCCTGGCAGTTTCCGCTTTCATAATGCTGCTTACAAGGCACTGGAGAACGCTGTGCACATGTTCTTTCTGAGGGAGTCTGTTGGATCCATTTGGGATCATTAAGTAGTTCAAGGTCAAAGTAGCTGAGGTATCGGGTAGGAATTGATCAAAGGATGCCGTTCCTGAGAATGGATGTAAACATGAGTTTGACTTCCTACTATCCCCAGAAGTGTCAGTGTACCATGGGAAAAACGCAGCATATCAGGGTGCCTAGAATCAATAATGCAATCCTGAGAAACACTCCCACTTTTTAATTCGTTTTTAGGCAGTGTCCTCTTTACTCTTGCTCAGTCTCTTGGGTGAAAAACCATGTGAAATAGTCTCATCTGTCAAAGTGCGTTGTTTCTGATCCACCTAACTGTTTCCACTGACACCATGTGTGCCACACATTCTTGAAAAGACAAGTCGACTGAGGGAGAACGTCAGTCCCCTTTATTTGGTGTCATATTTGCACTGGATTTTCCTGATAATAGTGACTATAAGTCATCTAGCTTACTACCTAAGTATGCAGCCTTTGTAAATGAAACCCCACAGTGAGTCCACAGACATAGACGAGCGATAGAATACCACAGGATCCATGAGAGCCAGAAATACATTCCAATCCCTAGTGCAAAAACTGAGTCCCTGATAACTGAAAATGTCTCTGAGGAAATTAGTAGTGAAGGGGATCAAAATATGCCACTCCAAAATATGTCACCTTGGCATATCAATTAGTTTGAGCTGAAGGGAATGCAGAATCAACTAATGTATAAAGAACACTTGTTGGAACTTTCCTTATCTGATTAAAAGCAGAAACTTCTGAGAAATGAGCCTAGCCATAAATTCTTTTTCCAGAGGAGTTTTATGGGCATGAAGATGGAAAATCAGCGCTGAGATGGGGCTGCACAAACTAACCTTCCTAAAATAACTCTTACAATCCATCAGTTCCCCCATACAGTTACCTTTCCACAATGTGCTGCCACTAGAGCCCCCAAGGTCCCCTTTCCTTTGTCTAGTCACTTCCCCACAATTTATTGCCCTTTATCAAAATGGTATATAAGCTTCCAAGTTTAACTGCCTCTATGGATTTTTACTTTTTTGTGGAGTCCTTGTGCATGTAAAAATATTGACACCAATAAGGAAACACATATCTCTTCTTCTGTTAATGTTGCTCTTGTTAGTTTAATTCACATGTCCCAGCTACAGAATCTAAGAGGGTAGAGGAAAAGTTTTTTCCTCCCTTATAGAGGCAGAGCTAAGACCAAGACTCCCTGGTCTTTTGATACCCTGTTAGGCACTCAAAAGAAAATGAAAAACCAAAGACATAGTCTATTTATGAGAGGTTCTTAATACATTACAAAAGTTGTTTATCATGTTGTATAGTTTGTTAATATTTCTCTGTTTCTTGTCGAGAACTTTTGGAGAAATGAGAATAAAGGAATTTAGTTACGAATGAGCCTACTTGAAATTATTGAGGGTACGATTTTCTTTGAATTCACTGGGCAATTTTCACATAATGATCAACTCAGAAAAAAATTCTGGTTTCCTGTCCCACCTCCATCCCCACCCCCCAACTGGTAAGTGTTTATGCAAATGAGTATAGGATAGTGTGTGAAAGCTCAAGCTTTGGAGTCATATAGAACAGGGTTAATCCATTGATTTATTCCATAAAGACTGGTTTATCAGAGCTTTGACAATATTATTTTTAGTGTGCATTGACCCAGCAGGCAAATGGCTTGAGGGTCTTGAAATCTCAATCTGATATGAATAAGCTGTCCTAGCTCTACAGCGTCAGTTAAGTGATGGTAAAAAAAAAATCCAAAAGAAAGTGAGCCTCCATCCTTGGTTTTCCGCATTCGTCAGTGAAATCCAGCCTGGGCTTTAGAAAGAGCTCTGCAAGTTTTCACAACCAGAGCAAGAAGCTGATAGAATCCTTTTGGTATGGCGCGGCAGAAGCGAACCGACTCGAGAATGCCTACCCTGCTTATTTATGTGCAGCGTTTAATGCTAAAAGGTGCCATTAAAGGTGAAGACCACATCGAGTGTCAAAGCAGTTAAAATCTTAAACATCCCTAATGACTGTTTTTAAGTCACTGCTATTCCTTACAAAAACAAACCCGCGCTAGATTAAGTGCGGGGGCACTCACGTGACAAATGATACCAGTCATCTGGATTTCTCATTACGGAGCTTCTGCCAAGTTCAGACTGTTTGCCAAGGATGATTTAACCATTCAGAGTGTCAAACTGACCGTGCACTTGGGGATGAGGGCGGGAAGAAGGCTCATCGCCTGAGCACTGTTTTCTCGAACTCCAAAATACCGAGGAGATGAAACCCTACGTTTGACTACCTTTCTTCACCCCCATAGTTAAAATCGACATCCACATGATTGCACTATTAAAAATGTATGCTGGAGGGCTCTTTCGTGTTCACATATTAAATCAAACAAATACTTTTTTAAAAGGTGTTAGAGGACAATGGAAGAAAAAAAAAGAGATAAATGGATGAGAAACCCAGAGTTGGCAAAATTAGATCGTTTAATGGGAGGTGTGTGTGTGTGTGTGTGTGTGTGTGTGTGTGTGTGTGTGTGTTTTACTGCCCTGGAAATCATTAGGCTGCAGTCGTAGGCCTGTGTAACAGGGAATGAAATATTGTCACGGCTCTGAAGGCATTAAAAAAAAAGGCCCTAAGTCCTTCTCAACATAAGTAAGCATGAATAATTAGTTTTAAATGCTTCCTTGTCACTCTGCTATTAGACTGGTCGATATAATTGCTGCAGCGCCAAGGGGACAGACCTTCACATCATCATTCCAGTAATTAGAAGTGTTACCTAATCACAGTTGTCATGAAGTCTCCCTCTTTCATGCTGGACAAAATTGCAGGTCATGGGTATGGTTAAAGGGTTCCTCAAGTATTCTGGAAGTCGTCTGTGGTCTAGAGTATCTCAGATAATGCTTTTGGGGGGAGACGAGTAAGTTTTGCTGAGTCCCCTGACATGCACAGTGAAGTCACCTTCCTCAAAGCACAGAGTGTGGCCTCCAGAAAAATCATTCTCTAGGAAGGAGCTGCTAATCGGTGCTATGTGACACGCAGAAGAGTCTCTCACTTATCCAAACTATTTTACAAGTCATATGGAAACAAGCTCTCCATCAAGCTGATAAGAAATCCTATTCTTGCTTTTGAGGTCACACACGGTAGATTACATATGATGACGGTTTCCCCACACTTTCTGGCTTCCCCTAAATCCCACTGAAGTCCCAGGGAGACCTTTGGGGCAATTTTATCTGTAATAGTAAAGCTGTTTTTCATGAGCATCTACTAAATGTCAGGCACTGTTTTCGATGATATCAAATTCAATGAGGAAGGTTTGAACCCCATTTACCAATTGGGTCTGAAAGAGGACTTAAGTATGTTGCTTAAGATTACACAGGTAGGGCCGGCCGAGTGGCGTGATGGTTAAGAACTGGCTTGGGACGCCAGAGGGCCCCGGTCCGATCCCACATATGAGGGCCAGTGACACTGCCCTCCACAGCTAAGATGCTGAACAGCAGCTCAACCTGGAGCTGGGCTGCTGTGAGATCCTGGCAACGGCTGCAGCCCCTGTGGCAGTGGGTTGCCATGGGCTACCGTGTGTAGCCAGCAGCCAGCGTGAGCGGCCAGCAGCCACAGTGAGCGGCCGTCCAGAAGCCAGAGACTGATCTGCCTCGCCCGGGAAGAGCGCAATGATGGTGCCAACTTGGGCCAGTGAAGCAACATCCTCCACAACTAGACTGAAGAACAAAAGGACAGCAACTTGTTTGTTCCCCTTCCCCCAATTCCCCAGCGCTGTTCCCATCCCCCCCAATTCCCCAATAAAAATCTTTAAAAAAAAAAAAGATTACACAGGTAATATTCCGTGGAGGTGAGGTTTAACTTCGGTCTGCCTCACTGTAAAGCCCAGGCTTCTGTGACATCCAGCAGATCACCCTAGGGGGATAAGTGGGTGGTTGTTAGTTGTTATTTGCTTCACTAGGTCTCATTTCCTTAC